ATTAAAACTTTTCAAAAAACCTTTAAAAGAACAATAATTCCCTTTCCACACCATATGTATTTAAACCCATGCAGTATATATTAATTAAAACGCCTTCCCTTCCTCCCTGCGTAACCTGTAAACAGGGAAAGTAGAACATACTCGCTTGTATTTAAATTTGAAATTGTTCATGGACTTTTTTTTATATCATGAACACAATGGCATTAAAACATAATACCTGTATACATTTACCAACACGCCTCATGTTGACAAAGACACGCCCCTTAAACTCAAGAGGGTATTTAAACAACCAGTACCGATTGAGTACACCTGGAATAGCGTCAGAACAGGTGAACTGAAAGTGCGTATCTGTGTATGTTTTCATCAGCAATTAATTCACTAAATATGAAAATATACAATTCAGAATGATTGTATTAAATGTATTTAACATTGAACTGAGTATTGACAGGTTGTATTACATTTCATTTCAAAGTTATGAGACAAAGCTCTGTTAACGTTTAACACGGAACCGTCGTATCCTTTTGAATCTGATGTAAGCACTTTTCACATGCGATGTTGACTTTCGCCTTACAATAGTTTTACGTCATATTTTTTCACCTCTTCAACAACATGAAAACTGCACCTGTATGACGTATTATTCAATAAGGGAGTGCAAATTTGTTGTTTTGTATCTATTGTTCCAAAACGTGCAAAAATAAATAAATAAAATGATTTGTATCGCACATTACTTGCATTAGTAAATTGAAATGGATACGTAAAAGTACTTTCTTTATTAGCATAGCAACATTTTTATATCTGATTTAACGTTAGATAAGTGAAAGATCGTTGATTCGTTTATAGTAGACCAACCTCGATGATATCAGGGAGAAGTCATGTAAATATTTTGGATTTATCTAGAACACACATGTAACAAACAAAATGTACATTGTTGGAGTAAAAACTAGTTTTTGTTATGATTTCCAACGTGGTTTTCTGTGCTGTATCGTCTCATCTGTTCGTGCTATCGCATTTTCGAGTTTAACATTGACTTTAAATTTGTTCCATTGTTTTGGTCATTGCAGATTTTATGGTAAAGAAATGCTACAGATTTGGAGAAAGTAGTGAATATGTATGATCGTAAGAGAATATTAATATAAGATGTATAATTTAACTTATAAAAATAACTATTTCAGAAGTTATAAATAGATACGAAATTCTTATTTAATGTATTTAATGTTCGTACTTGTACTGGTCGATTCCTGCATTAACTCTAAAACAATCATCGGTAAGCCAAGTAGCATGGTCTTTTTAAATTTACAAACAATATTGTTTGCATATACTTATAGTCAGTTGGTTTTACTAATTTGTCAGGTGACATTGTATCAATTTAGTCCAAACACCGAATTCGACACTATCAACTTTACCTAATCCATTACTGTACTTGAGGTGTCAGATATACTATAGTTGTTATTACTCCCCTGACTTTTAGCGTAAAAAAGGGTACACTTAAACAGCCGCTGTCACGGCGGTGCGGTAGCTACAGTAGTGGTGCTGTATGCGTTGTACAATAATATAGCATTACATATTTTTCTATAATATCTGACATATAATTATTGAATCAAATACATTAACGTAAATGAAAAAAAAGAGATAAAAACAGCTTACCTAAACACTCCTGTTCAAATAAACCTATTTATGCCAGCCTGATATCTCAATAACATGACAATAACGGTAAATAAACAAGGTGATGTTGACATCTCACGCTTTTTTGTTGTTGTTAATAACGTAACCTGCTTAGTTCGCTTTCAAGTTATTTGCATTTCGGTTGTCTTGGTATCATAATAGATTAATTCTGCTGTCAAATTAATTACTATTTTGTATGTATTACATGTCGGTACCTATCACAATAAAGGCTTATCCACTCTACTTCAGATCGTCTGTGGCCTACAATTTCACCTGAGTATAATTTGACACCTTGTTGTCCTTGGTAGACTGTGTTAGTTAACTGCGTAGTGCCAGACGTTTGACCTTGACCTTGACCTTGACCTTGCTACCTACACTTATCCCATTTGAGTAGTGGCACGGCGGTTGACTTGACCTTGCTACCTACACTTATCCCATTTGAGTAGTGGCACGGCGGTTGACGGTATTACCCGCTTTACTTATCATTTAGTTAATATGAACCAGAACGCCTTTTTAAGTTTTACAATACCTCAGTTTAAAGGGGGGGGGGGGGGGGGGGGGGGCATCACTGATGAATCCTAGAAAGACGAATCAGCTGTATGATGGTGTAATTCATGGTTACTCATTTGATGACATGTCTTTCATCGATCTATTTAAAGTCACTGGGATAAGTAATGTAAATTAAGATATATTCTGAAGGAGAATCATTGACGACTTCAAATCTTTCGCAAATATTATTTCCGGTATTATCAATTATCAATATTAAAAGCTGGCATTCTCACAATCACAATAAAATCGTGAATAAAACTTACAGGCATAGTTTGCAAATATTAAGTACACGAAAATGTAAAGTTAATTGTAGTAAGAGTTATACATACTGACAATTTAGATAACATACACGAGTACAGAGTAGAGCGATTGTGAATATTGTTGGCAAGAACGACCTGTTATAGCCAATAAATATTCAATTCCTTCGAATCTGAACTATAATTCCCTGGGTCACAGATTAAAACTATCCAGATTATCATATAAAATGATATTTTCCCATTAGCCACACCATCGACCTCCCTAACATCTGTGATCTAATAATGCTTTCTCATTATGTAAAATTTCGAAATTGTTGTTTAATATGCGTTGCACTAGTGAATTCATTCAACCGTTAGCTCTTAATCAGAACCCACTCAACCATGATGTTATTGACTGCCAGAAAATATTGAAGCAGATGTCGTCCTCACAATAACATTTAACAATGTCGTCTTGGCAGGCAAGGCTATTATTAGAAATCTAAGTTCAAAATTTCGCAAAAGACAATAAAATTCGTCGAATTGAAAAATAGAGGGGCGTGATACTTTGATTAAAGATAGGGTGACATGTACGTTTTTTGGAAGAACATCATTTAATATATCTCCAATAATTATTCATTTGTGACCTGAAGTGAATAGGATCCGTCTGTGATTGAATCTGAAATTTCGTTGCTGTAGACGTATCATTGAAAGCTAAATCAACACAATTTTATTCTCACTGATACCTTTAGAAGGTATTTCCAATTTCACATTTTATGTGAACTTGATGAAAAATGTTTTCTTATGAGACATTCTCGTTTTGTATTCGTCCTTTCCTGTCAGGTATTTAGGTGCAAATTCGAAATTCGATTCATTCGATATTGCATCTTATGTCACCAAATCCCCTTTCTATTGAATTTCAAATACAAATTCCCCGTATTAAATATGATTTGGAAGTAATAAAGGATATCAATAACAGACATGATTAATCCTGTTTACCAGAATGAAGTCTTGACTAAAGATTACAAATCGGTTTAATTTTTTATTTATTTATTTATTTAAATAGTTTTCATTTGGAACAGTTTCCTCCCATTTCAAAGTAAGCTGCATAATAACTCACTCTATTTATCATGCAGAGATACCCATATTATTTTAGAAGTTTTTACTGCATGTTACTTAAAGTTCCTAATTGAGAGAATAGTGTTATTTGAATACTCCTTCCTGGTCGTAATGTAAAAACTGATGGATGGGTTAGGGATTGGGATAGTGTTGTGAATATGACTATTTCATACACTGACAGTACAGGAAACCTTCTGGCACTGATGCATCAGCTATATCGTAAGTCTTTTACACTTGAATCCTTTCTAACAATTTTGCACGATGGCGTTGAAGAATGTATTGATATTTATCTTTCTATAATTAGTCCCTATGAGATTATGTAATGTTTTCTCATAGTGGATATTGAACCACGTTCTAATAGCTATTGTGTTTACGTTGTAATCAAGTCAAATATAGAACAGCTTGTACCCTACTGTGACAGTGTGTTAACATCCGGCTGGGGTATTTTTAAAGGGATTACCTTAATTATTATTGTATCTAGAAAATTTGCAGTTTTCGAATTACAAGGATACACTCATGTAAGGAGACTTTCCTTTCTGAGCGCCTTCTGATTTACTGTCCTGAAATGTATGTCAACAGAAACAGATTTGTACAGATAATTTAAAAATAAAACACCATCAACAAGTCAAATATTTCTATCGGGATATAGAAAAATACCAAGTGTACGAATCAATGTAACGGGTTCTTACATAATTTTCAAATTTGGTAATTTTTCACACTCGGATGAGAATTTCAGATATTTGCTCCCAACCCTCATTATTATTTATAAACATAAGCAGCAGGGAAGCGTTGTAGCTTCGTTTGGCAGTGACACATGTACATTGATTGCTATGCTTCTACAAAAATATTACATCATGCATAGCATATACTCCTGGTATCAGTTGCTGTATCGTTTTAATTATAAAGAAGATATAACATTTAACAATGTGTTCGACAACCTCACTTGTGCGCACATCACATTGAATTTACAGAAGTAAAATATAAAGATGGGGAAATTAACGGAATTACAAATAACGTTGATATTCATATGAATGTATTTTAAATGTAAATGTTTAGAACAGCGATAAAATAAACAATTCATGTTGTATGTTTAGGAGGTCAAAGGGAGACTATTAACCTATACATGACCAGCATGTAATATTCAAATGAATTTGAAACTGAACGACGGAAAACCTCTTTTGAATAAACAAACAGCTGAATGTTTTTAATTAGACCCGTGGCCAATGTATGACTGTTGCAGCAAGAGATTGTTTTGAGAGATGAATACTTGTGGTATAGTCAAACCATTTGTATTTTTTCGGTTTATGTAAACTTATTGTTGTTGGTGTAACTTTAAAAAGTGATTACAGAAAAAAATAGCACTGTGAATAGTTCTTTTACAGCGTGTATCAAATCATATACTCATTTCTGATATTGGTATGAATGATTCTTCACCAGGTCGATGAAATCGTGGATGAAGACATCAAAAACTTCCACAAGGAGATACAACCAAAAGATTGTAAGTATACGACTTACTGTATGTCATCATGGAATATTTTTGAATTTCATTTTCTTGTTGATAAATCATTTAAAGGTTAAATTTTCATTCAAATCAGTTGTTGGAAAGAAACATTTTTATGCTGACTAACGCAAACATGCTTTTCTTTTTTATATATAGCTGGATTTGACGAATTTACGGTCACCCACCTTATTGAAAAGCGAAATGGGGATTCAAGAATACCGTAAGGCAATCGATTCATTTGTATATTGCTGTCAGCATTATTTGGTACTTTATAAGATTATCTACAATGTTTACAAATGATTTTCAAACGTTTGTTCGTCATAGTTTATCACTTATTGATCACTCCGGAATGATTTTTATTAAAGAAAAGACTTTAAAAGAAAAATGTTTTACTTATTAACTTATTTCTTTAGATCATTTTTTGTATCTGCAATCTTTTATTTAATAGCCTGAATCCCAATTTGGAAAGCAACATATCTGAAAACATCTTGAAAATATGTTTTTGAATATATAAAGGTCTATATTGTTTTTTCCTAAAATCAACATCAGTTGAATTTTTTCATTATAAAACTTCAGGTTCGTGAGTGCTTCGGTATATCGGCGGAAGCGAGCAATGGAAGAAACGAAAAAGAACTTATCAGTTGAATTTAAAGCTTTTGATGAAACATTCACCATTGACCTACAACACCAGAAATCTGTAATACATCCTAACGCTAAGGTCATCTTAACAAATGGTGAGGAGGAGCAGGAATGGGAGGGCCCACACCCGGACTGTTTCCTTACAGGGAAACTGACATCGCACAGCACCGGAACTGTATCATTATCGTACTGTCATGAACTGGTTCGTAGTTTGTATTGCCCAGCTTTGTTAATGTCTTTTGAAACTTTTCTTATGTTTGGATCTGACAAATGGACATTTAAAATCAAACGAGAAAGATTGTATGAAAATAAAACAGTTAAAGTTAAAGTTAAACCGGTCTTGAATGATATTTTAGTACTTTAAACAACGTACAATATCAAGTAAAAGCTTCTTTTCCCTATTTCCTCATTCGCCGACATTGCAATGTAGGTGCTATCTTTATTCTGTATTGCCAGGAAGGAGGTATGTGGACAGGGAACCATGAATATCACATTATGACATTGCCGGAACGCCTACACAAACGGGACACCTCTAGTGGGAACATACATTCAGTATTAGTGTCTAGAAGGAATCTCGGATCCTCTCTAATCGATTCGTTACATCTACAACGTGGTATATACTGTCAGCCTAATTTCAATCGTTAAAACTTTAGTAATATTGATTCTATATGACGACATTTCAATTATTAATTACCAAACTTTCTAGGTGTTTTCACACGTGTGTGTGTTACGTTCATCTGTTTTCACATTTGCTTTGGAACACTTCATAAATAAATTTAATCGACGCAATGATAATATGGTGCAATAAGAAGTTTTGCCTTGCTTAACTTGATTTTTAGCTTTGTTTTATCCACATCCATATCTATAATAGGTGTTCCGTTTTTGTATACCCAGTGATTATTCTATTTGCTACAAAACAACAGACAAACATCATGTTTTTATCATACTAGTTTAATTGCTGATTTGTTTTGTATTGCTTCCAGGCTAGGTAAAAAACGCACCTTAATTAGGCTATACATGCCAAACGTTTCTAGATGTGTATGCTTGTAGACATATATATATATATATATATATATACATATATCGGAATGTATGCCATATTTCTGCTTACGTAGATTCAATAAATCCTGAAGATAAAAAGACAGATCGAACCAAACGCGCAACGACTTACGTCATCCCTTCTACGTCATTTACTATGGAGCTCGCGGTATACACCGACCAGGACTTCACGTCACTCTTCGCCTACACTGACGTCACAAGGAGAATCGCCGCCATCGCTGCCAAATACAATGGGGTATGTCGCAGAAGGATACAGTTACAATACAGCATAATTTATGTTTATTCAATTACTTAACTTATTATAAAAAGTTTTAACTAGAAAAATATGATACAGCGCTATATATTCTATACGACTTTAGAAGACACAAATGTGAACAACTTTAATTCGTTTTAAAATTAGCATTAAGGATTCTATGAAAGTTGTACAACAAAAAACCCAAATCAAGAAAACTAAACAAATCAAACAAGAATGGGTTCTAAAATGCTACTTTGATTTCTTTACTATCAACAATAAGGTCGCATCATACCGTTTCATTTTTACAGGTACAAGCTGAGTGGGGTCGAACTACTGACCTGGGTTACACTGTCACCATGGTTATAAAATATATCAACATGTTTGATACTAACCCGGTAAGGATATCTCTTCTTTATTCTAGTGTTGCCAATATGTACTAAATGGTCTAACGTAAAGGGATTTGTTGTTTTATAAAACCTCAAAATTCCATTGAGAATAATTTATAAGTTTAGGTTATTTTTAAGGCTTATGAAATAGTTTCCGACATAAGGTTACAATATTCATTCGAAACTTTTTCTATATGAACGGAAAGCACAATTTAGTCGAGTAAAACGTTCATATTGGAACAAATCGATTGATTAAAATTTGTTTGTTATTTAATGCATGCAGAAAGTGGTCTGCTAATCAATTATTGTTACCTTTTTGATAGTATTCAAGATATATCTCATTCTGATCCTTACAGGATGAAGAGTGTATTGTAAATAAAGATTAAGTACGAGTTTTATCTTATAAAGTATAAATTTCTTTGTTCTATTTTTTCTATTTGTAAACGGGTAGTTTATTCTGTGTTCTGTTTGCTCTGTAGTGTACATATGTTGTTTTACAGCTGTGGTACAATGTTTCCACCTCCGTTGGGGTTGACCTACAACTGATATGTGAAGGAGCTGCCACCAGTGCCCACGACCCTTATGATATTGTCTTCCTCCACACTGGGTGAGTTTTCCTGATTCAATTCAATTATTGACTTTAAACTTTTCAGCTCATCTGTAAACATATAACAATACATAAATTCAGTGGCAGACACTGCAATAAAACAGTGGAGAATGGACAGAATACAGTTACATAGAGAATGGACAGAATAAAGTTACATAGAGAATGGACAGATAATAGTTACATAGAGAATGGACAGAATAAAGTTACATAGAGAATGGACAGAATAAAGTTACACAGAGAATGGACAGAATATAGTTATATAGAGAATGGACAGATAATAGTCACATAGAGAATGGACAGAATATACTTACATAGAGAATGGACAGAATACAGTTGCATAGAGAATGGACAGAATAAGGTTACATAGAGAATGGACAGAATACAGTTACATAGAGGATGGACAGAATAAAGTTACATAGAGAATGGACAGAATAAAGTTACGTAAAGTTTAATATTATATCATGTTTTTTCTTAATTGAGTAGCATCGTATATATATTTACTTAACATCATACATATTTTTACTTAACATCGTATATATATTTATTTAACATCGTTTATATATTTACTTAACATCGTATATATATTAACTTAACATCGTATATATATTTACTTAACATTATATATATATTAACTTAACATCGTATATATATTTACTTAACATTATATATATATTAACTTAACATCGTATATATATTTACTTAATATTGCTAATTCTTAGTTGTTAGTTGTACTTAATAGTTGGATCAACTTGAAAACAAACGGTTTTTTCCAGTAGTACATTTGTATAGGTCTCGACCTGAGAACTTAAATTAACAAAAAATGGTTATCATCTTCGATATCTTCAGAGCAATAAACTCTGCAAAGACGTTCATTTCTAACAATATATCGATAACGTCCTGTTTCAATATGCAGCGTATGGGGTGATAAACGTATCCTGCTTTAGTGTTTCACTAAACGGCAAACTGTATTGTTGAATATCGTCCGTAAAGTATGGGTTTCTAAAGACTTTAATTTATTAATATACCTAAATGTTTTACTCAATACAGAGTAGCCTTCTTTAACATAGTCAGGGCGTCTCTGAGTTAGTAAACTATCGTCATTACTTTTAAGTAACGTTTCGCCTACTTTTGCACGTGTGTAGCATAACTTTATAAGTAATGGAAATCTGATAGATTACGTTCTACAGCTTAATCCACATAGAAAATAAACCTATTTCGAGAATGCGTATCCAGCAATGCTCTAAATTACACAGAGACAACCATCTACTTTTCCGTTGAAGGGTTTCCGGGGCTAACCTCGGCGGACTGGCTTACCAAAATAATATTTGCACCAACAACTATAAGTGTGGCGTTTCTGCGTCACGAAGTCTCGTCACTTATATTGCAACAGCCCATGAGATAGGCCATAAGTAAGTACTCAACAATTCGCAAAATAGGTCAAAAGTAAGTATTTGACTACTAAAACTGTTCACTGTAATTAATGGTCTACATGGACTAAATGTGCTGTTAAGAAAACAACCATATGGCACCGGCTCAAAGTCACTTTAAAATGTTTAGGGTTAGACTATAATATAGTACTTTCTACTATGGAAATGGTCTTAATCGATTGTGACTTGCTTCCGCACCTTTGTTCTTCGAATGACAAACAGTTTGTATTAAGTCTACTGCGTAATACTAATACGACAAGCTAGATTAATATTGACTTAAAAATACAACATATGAGTACCTCATTGGAGAAATAAGTGCATGGACGCTAAGGGCGTCCTTGCAAGGTGGCAATATATATATTTATTTTTAATTTATTGTTTTATTCTCCGTTGTAGAGCAACGATTTCAATGTTTGACGTTGTGCACCATTTACGTTATATTGATATGCACACATCTTCTATGTTGTATTGAACTATTTGAAATACATGCAAATACCTTAACAAAGATACTCACCGCCCCAACCACCACCCTTACCACAACCACCACTACTATTACGGCTTTGACTCCATCATTGTGACGTAATTTACACAACAACTACTATTACGGCTCTGACTCCATTATTGTGACGTAATTTACACAACAACTCTGTGTCACAGCTTAGGGATGTACCACGATGCTGACAGAGGCTGTGCAAGTCCTGATGTTGGAGTAATGGGAGGAAATGGAGCAGGCTGGAGTACGTGTAGCAAGGCCAGCATGCAGTCATACCTTGAGTAAGTAACAAAAGTGTCTTTTAATAACAGATGTCGTACGAGCGTAAAAAAAGCGTTACTATGAACAAAAGAAATGGATGGAGGATACAAGTAACAACGAAATTGTCAATATAGAAATAATTGTAACATTGCCCTGAGGTCAAAATGGCTCATTATTGTATATACAGGTATGACATAAGTATAAAGAATATACTTATATAGATATATAACGAATATAACAAAAAAACTCCTAATGTAAATATTAATATTGAAGAGAACAGTTTGTGTTTTTACCTGAAAAATATGATTTTGCACTTGTTTTGGTTCCGTTTCAATATAGTCATTTGAAAAGCACAGAACAGTAGAGATCTTTTATTCAAATATTTGAAAAGGAAATAAAAACATAAAAAAATTTATTGTGAGAACACTAGTTAACGCGATGTATATTTGAAGTAAATGAAGTTTTCGATTAATGCATCATCTACAGCATCTTCCTTATAATTGAAAGAGTTTTGATTTCCATTGGCTTACATTTCGGATATATAACTGATTCTTTTTTATAAAATGTTCAATCATATGTAACATTAATGAATTAATGAAGATGAATTGTATTGCTATGTTCATGAAATAGCGTAAAGGAACATTAACATACATCTCCATGAATTTGGAAGATGCATTTCAGATTAAATTCGTGGTTTTATTTTAAGGAAATGAAGCTCATATACGTTACATCATAGGACAAGTATTTTAAGTGTTACTCTTTCACCCCAATGTAACTTTAGTAAACTCTACCATGCATTGATATGGATAAGTCCATTATGGTCTATAATGGTGAAAGGGATAAGAAATCAGTACCAACATAAAATGTACAAACCCAGTGATATTGCACACATAACAATGTTATAATTAACCTGTATAGGACTGGGAGAGGACAATGCCTTTGGGAGACAAACATTCCATTGTCAAACGTGTCAGCTGACTTACAGAGCACATCACTCACAGGAGAGCTCATGGGCAAGTGAATAATTTTACAATTGCCATCCGGATTGACAGAAAAAAGTGACGTAACATAATTATGTTTTGGTTGCACTGACTACATCTTTTAATGTTATGGTTTTGTTATTCGTTATAATTAAAAATATTATATTGATTGTACATTGAATAAATGATTGAATAATAATATATACTGACTAGGAACTAACGCCGTTTAACAAGACCAGCTCAATTTCAAACTAATTTGATAACATTTTTTTAAAGGTCAGACTCTTTTGGAAGACGAGGTGTGTGAGGTTCTTTATGGTAGCGGGTTCCGGTTTCGAGAGTATCCCAATTTTAATGTACGTATTCCATACTGACGTTTAAAGAGAGTTTTATATTTGCCATTAATGATACTGTATGTTGGGAAAGTGTTACCGTAGTTTAACTGTCATCTATTGCGCCCTGCACGACGAGGACGAAGACAGCGAATATTAGTACACAGCATACCTCATAAAGTAAGTAATGTGCAGGGCGTATAAAGTAAGTAATGTGAAGGGCGTATAAAGTAAGTAATGTGAAGGGCGTATAAAGTAAGCAATGTGAAGGGCGTATAAAGTAAGTAATGTGAAGGCCGTATAAAGTAAGTAATGTGAAGGCCGTATAAAGTAAGTAATGTGAAGGGCGTATAAAGTAAGTACTGTGAAGGGCGTATAAAGTAAGCAATGTGAAGGGCGTATAAAGTAAGTAATGTGAAGGGCGTATAAAGAAAGCAATGTGAAGGGCGTATAAAGTAAGCAATGTGAAGGGCGTTTAAAGTAAGTAATGTGAAGGGCGTATAAAGTAAGTAATGTGAAGGGCGTATAAAAAAAGCAATGTGAAGGGCGTATAAAGTAAGTAATGTGAAGGGCGTATAAAGAAAGCAATGTGAAGGGCGTATAAAGTAAGCAATGTGAAGGGCGTTTAAAGTAAGTAATGTGAAGGGCGTATAAAGTAAGTAATGTGAAGGGCGTAGTTATCATTTGGCGAATATGAATTTAACCTGTAAAAGGCGACCGTTTGACTGGGTGAAAGTTTCCCGGAATAGAGTAACAATAGGATATCATGTTGGAAGACTTCCATTCAACATTGATCGTGATAGATACAATGTATGAATGTGAGCATGAAAAGACAGAACACAATGTATGTACCTGATATCTGAAATGTTCTTCTAAGAGCCTAATTTCGTCACTTGTGCAACATCGCTAATGATATATGTCAAAGCATATGTACAGTGAGGGTTGTTTCTTATTAACATCATACGCGTAACTACAAATCGGTGAAATAAAGATGCAGGTGAAGCGACGGTACGTTGAATAATGAATGACTGTTGAGGCACATCCTAAGGTATTTACGTAATTTCAAATTTTAACATTTTATTAGAAAAATATTACCAGATAATATCAACCGACAAATATATTGTGTTGAGTAACCCTTTTAAAAGTGTGCCCTGTCTTGTTTTCAAGCGTGATGTCATTATAACTAGGCATTAACTATGACACTACTGATTTCAATATTGTTTTGGATACAACTATATTTTCGTCGTTTTGCTTTAAAATCTAATGAATGGAAAACTATGATTTTCTCTTTTAATGCCATTAACAGTTCCTTCGTATTGCAAAATATTTTTCACTCGTGTTTCGATCACACGGAAATATTGGTATTCTACATTTCTCGTGAAATATAAACATTTAAATATATATAGTATTGAACAGTGGACCGTTTATTTTTTCTCTATTTATCATTATCAGAACTGCGGTTTATTCTCCTGTGTGGACATGAATAGAGGCACCACTTATGGACAAATGTACAAGGAATCTACCGGTATATCAGGAAACTACTGCGGGGAAGGAAGTGTAAGTTAATGTCAATGACTTTGATATGGCGAGTATTCTATTTCGCAAACTAGGTGTGTTGGCTTTATTCATTTACTTGAGTCCGTGATGAACAGGATACTATTCCAATTTCGAAAGCAATTTTCTATTTCTAATTTTTACAGAAGAATCAAACTGGTGAATAAGCATTCTTGCGAACACTGCGTTAAAACATACAACAATTCAGATATTATTCCATTGAAAATACTATTGAAATATAAAAATAACAGATTAACAAAGCTGACATATATAGGAAACTACAAAATATCTTTAACAAACTGACATGGTGAAAAATATCTAAAGGAATTCATAATTTCAGTGTTTAGTAATGTGTGATCAAACACTGAAGACTGAATGCTGAGTTTTTTCTTTTTATCAAATACGAACTTAGGATTATATGTTTCAATTAAAAATGCACAAAAATATTCCGAAAAGGTAGTTCAGAAATATGTGCAAAATAAGTAGCGCTACACAAACACACTTCCACAAATGAGAAGATACACAAAAATTGCAAAAATATCAATTCACAAATAGAATATCACTAAAATTGAAGTTCATTAATAGAAATAAGAACATCGAAAATAAATGATCAGTACAAGGAGCAATAACAGCACAAGCACAAGCTTAATAATTAAAGCAAATTTACAGGAGCAAAATGTTGACATGAACTTAATTTAGTCGGAATGAGAGTCATCAGTCTGATATGAATATACTTAGTTTGTTTTGAACACATACAGGAATCAATTTTTTGAGAGCTTTGAAAAACTTCTGTTTCCTTTGTTAATCAAAGAATACAATTGACCGGTGTCTCAAGTCTGTACCGATGTAAACAAACCATTCAGCCATAGTGTGCCGAATCCGTCAAGTCAGCTGTCAGCCTATTGTCGAGAAATGTCGTCCAGGTAGCGCTCTAATAATACATGCAGTCATATAAACATGCAACATATTACCTGTGTCGCCCTTTAGTGAATGTTAAACGATAACTTAACCTTCCGTATTTAGATATGCTTCAAGGGCGGTTGCAGAACTCTAGCAGCTGCTAAACTGACAGGCGCAACCGTTACAGCTGGGGGTTGGTCAATCTGGGGTCAATGGTCAACTTGCTCTCGTACATGTGGAACAGGAATCCTCAATAGAAGACGTATATGTAATAACCCCAGGTATGTTACTTTGTATTCCAGCTGATAAATTACCACAGGGTCGAAGGTGAATTCTTTTGTTAATGAAGTGATATAACAAGGTAAACGGTTCTGATTTCAGCTGTTGTATTATTTTTTGGATGAACTAAAACTAATTTCATGATTACGCTTTTTTGGTTACATTTTTATAGACCGAAGAACCATGCAATGTGTTCCGGTGACGAATACGAGGCAGAGCTATGCAATACCACGGTAAGACATGCGATCATATAACTCAAAGGGGTGAAGAGCAACATACTAGTTAAGAACAACAATTTGATAATCTTGAATAAGCAATGTTTTACAAATTTAAGGATGATATTCAGAGCTTTATTCGGATGAGTTGATAGCAGTTGTTGACAACCATAATCGTATTTGATAATAATGTGAAAGCATTGGGTTCGATACAATTGTAAATAAACTTACACATGTAATACTATTGTTCTTTCAGCCCTGTCTAGGGGACAGCTCAGTTGAAGGCACACTGAAAACCGCTAGAGCGTCTGAAACATGCTACTCGTTGGTGCAATATGGTATTATTGACAGTGCTAACTATAAAACTACAGGGACCGTTTTCAACAGTATTCGTAAGTAACATAAACAGACTAACTTAATTAATGTTTGGAAATAACTGCATACCAAGGAAATGTCAAACAAAGTTAATCTTTTATCTTATTCTTCGCGCTGGTTTTTTTCTTCGGAAAAAATATAAATCGCCTTTAATTTTGTTTTGAATGCTTTTTTTTCTTGCTTTTTTTGTACAAGAAAAGTCTCCGCTTTTAGTTATTTATTTTGTATTATTTTTGAGTTCAGATGACCTAAGTGTTGAGATGTAAACACTTGGTAGCCAGTACCGTTATGTCTTTGTCATCGTTAAAGTAGCAGTAATTAAAGAAGTTAAAGCATCAGTTTTCAAAGACCGAATCCAAACGTAGATAAAATTGATACAAAAATACAACAACAGATTATAAGGCGACACAAAAACAAAACGGAAAACGTCATGATCCGCACAAAACCAGTTTGTGGAATTGGGTGCTCACATTTGTCGTAGATTTTAGAATTTACATGATCATTTGTCACAATGTAGGTGAATGCAAAAATATGTTGCTGATGAAGCTTAGTTTTTCATCCCAGATTTTTACAGATTAGTACAAAAAAGAACTTTGTAATTTTAAACTAAAACAAACACACAGAAGCCAGCCTTCACTCTTGGTTTATATTTATACATTAATATCAGTTACTGGTGTTTACACTACATGACACGTCGTTTTGAACTAAGTTGTCTTGTTTAGGGCGATCATATGTTTACCAGTCATGATCTACTTTGATCCTTTGACGCTATCGGTGTTTTTCTTTTACATTTTACATAACTGTCGTAGAACGCGTTTGAATTGTTTTATATGATTCCGTAGGTATGGGTAAATGTGAGGTAAAATGTGACCCCCAGACGGGCTACACGCCTCCATCCTACACTCGGTACGGTCTGATGCCTGACGGATCGCCGTGTGACGAGGTTCTCCATGAATTGGACGAGAAAGACTGGCCCAGAAGACCTGGGTATAATGACTATTGTCTTGAAGGCTACTGTCATGTAAGTGTGTCCCTTACATCATGCCATCAAGCTTCCAAATATAAATTGATATATCTTGTTCTTTGGAACTTTAAAAAAGAAAGTGAAATGAAAATAAGGATCTTATCATATTTAATACTATCACAAGTTAAAAAAAAATCAAAAAAAATCAAATGTTCCCTATAGGTTCGTTATAATTTAAGGAAAATGTATCGATCATTACTGTGTAACCTAATTTAATGATATTAACAGTTGTGTCCTGTTGTCTGTGTGTTGGGAGGGAGATAACGTCTGTTTTCTTAGAATCCGAGAACGTACATATATCTTTGAGATTTGTTCAAACATAATACAAACATCTTTTTTTTTAAATAAGGTAATGATAAAGTCACTCTAATAACTGCTGTCTAGGTTCCTGACTTGAATATCACTGACAAGAGTTAAAGTGGGTAGGATAAGTAAAAATATTATTTTCAGTAGACAGGTAAGAACTTCCAGATTTCGATAGAAAAAGTGAAGGGGTGTGAGGTTTTAAATGACATTTGTCAACACAAAAAAATATTGCAATACTATTTTATACTTGTTTTATTAACATCCACAGACACAGTTTACAAAATACACTGAATGCATTTCAGATCATAAAAAAGTCATTAAAAAGACTCCCTTTCAGATAACCTGATTATTGATCAATTGTATGAACCTAGTACAATCTATAATATTAAACTCGTGGTTGCAGGTGTTTGGATGCGATAACAAATTTAACGGACAACAGTATGACCAATGTGGTGTTTGTGGGGGAGATAACTCTACCTGTCTCTTCTACAATTCAGTATTCACCGACTCCTTAGCACAAGGTAAGATTACATTGAAGAATATTTCATCCTAAGCAATTATCAACAAATATCAAAGTACGGAAAGAAACAACAAGAGAATACCAATATTGTCATCAAAACAGTGACTCATGATCGATAAATCTGAGGATTCACCATTAAAAGGAGAAGAGAGATTAAGACCTGGAGTTCCGGAAGGTAATGCGTCTTTGCTTCATCAATGACCCCCACCATGCAAATATAAGTTAAATCAATTACATGGTATATATACAATATCATATTGTAGATACAGAAGAGACAGTGTAAGGTAAAATATAATATTGGTGTCAGTTAAAAATGTAACTCACATTGCTACATGATTATAAGCTTATAGTTTGTAAATATGTACATGATTCCTACATTTAATAACTTTGTTTATCCATAACAAAGAACAAAAAATAGAAAATATTTGAGCGGCTTTAATAACAAATGCGTATCGCAGTAAATCTGAAATTAGAAATATGAAGATTTCAATTGTCATAATGACATTAATCAATTTTACCCTTATCTATATACATCTATCTTATTTAACAGATTGATATCAGAATACTCCGACAATTCTCAAACTGTGGTAATTTGGCACTTACAATTGTAACATCATGCGCTAGCGCCCAATATGGTGTTTTAATGCAAAGCTGTGTCATTCATTCTGACTGTAAATGACATGTTGACACAGTTCAATGGTTCATTATACACATCATACAAATGTGGGTTTTTTACCAGGTGATCGGGTGACTATCGTCCAACTACCTGCTGGTTCCTTTAATATTCAGTTTTGGTTCACGTACAATCTGATGAGTAATAACTACGTAGGTAAGTAAGATAAATAGTATATAGTTTTCTATAAAGATTGCAAACATGATATTTCGTCTATTCGTATTGCAGAGTTATCTGCTCTTGTGAGCAGCCATTGATCGTTACGTCACTAGTTTGTGTGAGGAAATTACGTCGTTTTCTCAAAAATTTATGACGTTACTCTCACAAACCAATGACGTAACAATCAATACCTGCTCACAAGAGCAGATAACTCTGCAATACGAAAAGACGTAATATCCTCTGATATTATTATTTCCCTGTTTCAATGCAGTTTTAGCCCTTTAAGGATCCCTGTCCCACTGCACTATGGTTTTTTCGTATATACAGTAACCTCCCCTTAATTTTATTTTGGATATAACTGTAGTACATTCTGGCCTAGACACTTCCGTGGACCATGTAGATCAGTCGGTTAGAGCGAAAATATAAACGTTTTCAGTCCAGGGTTGGAATCCCGGTCTAGGATGGATGGGATTTTTACACTCAGAACATTGTTGTGTTTATTTTCTTTTGTTCGTGTAAGACGAAGGTATGGGTTCAGTTCAGGAATGGTTTATCAAAGTTAAAGGGATGCCGGTAACAACAGTTTTCACTGCGTAGTCACAGTGGTTAACAGTGGTACGGGGATCCTTAGACGAAATGTCCCGTGTGCTCCTTGTGCAATAACTTCACATTCTGAATATTTGTGCAGTAAATTAGTGTTACCCAGTTTTACTATATCCGTTAGTACAAACGAAATCACATACGTTTATAACTTACTCTATGCTGATGTTAAATATTGAACCTGCCAACTTTAATATTTATATTCCACACAAACGACCATTGTACGGAATTATAGAGGTATATCTGACATATGCTAGAAATGGTCTAAATGTATAGGTTTGATCACGTATATAACCTTCCTGTGCTCCAAAAACAAAATACCAAAAGTTTTCAGGCAAAGCTATTGATTCGCTATTCTTTAGACTGGTCACCGTGAAAATCCGACATACATTTCAGTGATTTTGAAAACTGTACTGTCGGACGTTTCAAGGGTAAAACAGCACTTGTGTATTCGCGATTGCGTTTCTTATTCCTTTCACTATTTAATTGGCACTAATAGCGCATCGTAAGTATGATTTATGAATAAAAGTAAGACATACACGTAGGGTGAATTAATAACTATTTTCCTCGCAAAAAATCAAAACAACACAAAAAACAACAATTGTTTGCGAAACTCGGAGTACGTACTTTTGTATATTGTTCACAATGTTTTACAGCGCTTGTTGACCTACTTTGGTCCACTTACTTTGCAGAGTTGTGGAGTAAGTATGATCGAGCCATCATTGCCTCTAGGGTGGGATACAGCTGGGTGTTCGAAACAGGTGATAGTCCAATTTCCCATGCCGGTGCATTCTGGTCTTTTTACTTCAACACGCAATATCTGTTAGGAAGGGGAGTTCTGACTGACACTGTTACTATTAAGGTAAGTCATTGCACTCAATAAAATATATAAACAAACCGCGGGAAATGTAGTAAAACCGTGGCACATAAAGGAGACTAAAAGTCTCTCAAACTATTTTGCTAATCTTATATCTTGTTTGTATGGAATTAAGCGGCATCACAACAGCGCCTCGGAAATAATGAAAAGTACATATAAAAAATCGCCGAAATTATTGAGTATGGAATAAAAAAAGTAATAATATAGGTCCCGAATGTTGCCATTTTTGGATTCTTTAATTTCCTAAAAAGTATCAAACACTGGGGAAATGATCCTGCATGGGGTCCCACACCAGTCGTGTTATACGATAGCACCCTCAAAGTGCAGGATTACGTAATCAAGAAACAGACATATATTAACGTAATGAAACAACTATAATATGATAACGTTATGAGCCAATTATAATATGATAACGTAATGAACCAATTATAATATGATAACGTAATGAACCAATTATAATATGATAACGTAATGAAACAATTATAATATGATAACGTAATGAACCAATTATAATATGATAACGTAATGAACCAATTATAATATGATAACGTAATGAACCAATTATAATATGATAACGTAATGAACCAATTATAATATGATAACGTAATGAACCAATTATAATATGATAACGTAATGAACCAATTATAATATGATAACGTAATGAACCAATTATAATATGATAACGTAATGAACCAATTATAATATGATAACGTAATGAACCAATTATAATATGATAACGTAATGAACCAATTATAATATGATAACGTAATGAACCAATTATAATATGATAACGTAATGAACCAATTATAATATGATAACGTAATGAACCAATTATAATATGATAACGTAATGAACCAATTATAATATGATAACGTAATGAACCAATTATAATATGATAACGTAATGAACCAATTATAATATATTAACGTAATGAAACAACTATAATATGATAACGTAATGAACCAATTATAATATGATAACGTAATGAACCAATGATAATATGATAACGTAATGGACCAATTATAATATGATAACGTAATGAACCAATTATAATATATTAACGTAATGAATCAACTATAATATAATAACGTAATGAAACAATTATAATACGACAACGTAATGAAACAATTATAATATGGTAACGGAATGAACCAATTATAATTTGATTACGTAATGAACCAATTATATTATGATAACGTTATGAAACAATTATAATATGATGACGTAATGAAACAACTAGAATATGATAACGGAATGAACCAATTATAATAAGATTACGTAATGAACCGATTATAATATGATAACGAAATGAACCAATTATAATGTGATAACGTTATGAAACAATAATAATATGATAACGCAACGAACCAATTATAATATATTAACGGAATGGAACAACTATAATATTATAACGTAATGAACCAATTATATTATGATAACGTAATGAACCAATTATAATATGATAACGTTATGAAACAACTATAATATGATAACGTAGTGAACCAACTTTAATATGATAACGTAATGAAACAATTATAATATGATAACGTAATGAAACAATTATAATATGATAACGTTATGAAACAATTATAATATGATAACGCAATGAACCAATTATAATATATTAACGTAATGAAAAAACTATAATATGATAACGTAATGAACCAATTATAATATGATTACGTAATGAACCAATTATAATATGATAACGTAATGAACCAATTATAATATATTAACGTAATGAAATAACTATAATATGATAACGTATTGAACCAATTATAATATGATAACGTAATGAACCAATTATAATATGATAACGTAATGAAACAACTATGATATGATAACGTAATGAACCAATTATAATATGATAACGTATTTTAGTCCCGACTTATACTAACCCTGTTTCATCCCTAAACATTTCTCACAAGAGAAGAGATTTCTGACTCCAATTGTTTATATTCGGAACACGCGTACTTTTGCAATATCTTGCAATAATTATGATTTATGAAAACAAATTAACTGCCATTCATCACGATAGTTAAATCGTGCTGTGAGTTAAAACTCTGTCATTGTTTTGATTTATTCAGTTCTACAATCACGAAGGCAATGCAAATATTGGCGTCAATTACGCATATTCTGCTCCCCTGAATGGTAAGCGATCATATTATTCATACTTGTTGAAAATATTGATAAGTATATAAATGATGAGATGGAAATAATAATTATATACCCTCTGTTGAACTCGGGGTAGAAGGGGGTACTTTTCAGTTTTTTTAATTATTAATTATATGACATTGCTGAAGTGATTTTACTGATTATTTGGAATGTTTGACTATTTGGAAATTTATACTGTGATTCATATTTTCCAATCATCTTGGTGTTAAGCAAAATAATTAAATAATTGAAAAGAAAAAAAGAAAAGTTACAGTAGCACAATTGAACATACTCATAATGTACGGATGAGGAAACTGTAGTATTTTTTTTCACGCTTTCTCAACTATTAAATGCATAAGCGAAGCACCTCTTTCCCATTTTGGGCTACCAAATATTGCTTCACCAAATCGTAAAGTGTGAAAGCGTGCTTTTGATCACCCACCGTTAATCTTTATTCAATTATAGTTGGAAGTTGCACTGGAACCTGTCAGAACGGCGGCACATGGGACAGTTCAGTGTGTGCTTGTTCCTGTCCTGCCAACTACTACTGTAAGTGTTTTACTTGTGAACCATACCAACTACTACTGTAAGTGTTTTACTTGTGAACCATACCAACTACTACTGTAAGTGTTTTACTCGTGAACCAACCTATGGATCCATAGTGTTATACCTTTTACATGATCACTTCAATGATATCAATGTACGAGTTCCATTGTGTGCAATAAAAACAATATCCAATAAAATAAATCACCTGAAGTACAATATCGAAATGTTTCCTTAATACCTTTTTTTTTTGTATTTTGTATTTTCACATATTCTCTTTTTTCCGCAATTCCACATAAGAAACAAAGTTGCTTAACTCCTATATGGCTCAGCAAATCAGTACATTTTATTGTACGATGTTTGGTTTTCTTCATCAATGAACATATTTTAAATAGACGTGTCTTAATTTGCATTTCTAGTCAATCATTTTGCTGCAATCGCTTAGGACATATGTATAAATACATACATATGTAATCACTAGAAATATGAAATAGATACCAAACACGTCAATGTTATATGACTTTATGTAGGCGTTTCAGCAACACACAACACGCTTCCTTATACATGTTAAATAACATTATTTTAACAAAAATTCGAAAGGAAATTTGGAAATACTTTTAAGTACGTCTGTCAATGTGACAAATAGGTTTGTTGCCATAATTTAAGGCTTTGTCGCATTTGTATTCAAACACCTACGTATTTTTAATGTTTAGATATATTTTGTATTCGTGGTGCTATAGAAAACATTATTTCATTTATGTGCAGCCCTGGATTGCAGCAGTGCATGCAACACACAGTGTAAGAATGGTGGGACTGTTATAGAGAATACATGTGGATGTCAGTGTAATAACCAATCGTTTGGTGCTACTTGTCAAACATGTAAGGTACCTTTTACGGGACAGGCATGTCAGAGCTGTGTGGGCGCCACCTGTCTGAACTGTGGCGTATTTGACAGCTCCACATGTCGGTGTAAATGTCTTGATGGGTATGGAGGAACGTCTTGTGAAAGTAAGAATTCATTCAATAACAAAATAAAATGTATTTGCAATACCCTTAAATGTAACCCACTGTTTATCAATAATGACACATGTTGTCAAATATATTGATGTATGTTTTATCAGGGAGCTCGAAAGGTATAGTCCTTAAACATGTTGATATTCGAAAAAATACAGTTATACTTTTTCTACCAGTAAAATATAAGGTCTTAGGTGAAACCAAAATTGATAAAACCCATGTGATTATCATTAAACAGTACATTGATCAATGCAAGAGCTATATTTACTATGAAAAGTCATTATTAAAAAAAATAGATTTAATGAAGACGACGTATATACCTTTTTACCGGCGCAATATCGTAAGTAGCGCCATTGGCGATACATCCAGTCGATTCAGAAACCCGTGTCTCTTTCCTTTTCAGTAACATATAACTTTTAAGGGGATTACTAACCTTGGGATGATGATGACATCAAATTATCAAATATGTGTTAAAAGGCAAATATCAAGGACTAAAATCAATGTAAACCGCCATTGAAAAATCGTTTTCTTCACTCCAACTCTTATATTTTTCAAGGCCTTTAAAATTGCACATAATGACTACCCATTAATGAATGAATCATTACTATTGATTTAAGTAGTCGTAATGAAATTAAGGTTAGGACAAAGGCCAGTGTCACAATGTCTATTTTGGCCACTAAAAACTGTTCATAGCAAAACAAGATCATCCTCAAAAAGGACCCTTAACGTGAAATTGTAATAAATCTAAAATGTTTCAAACTTTTTAAAAACGGCTTATCTCATAACCATGTGTTTTGATATGACTTGTAATCTATTTCCTTGACAGACACGTGCGCTGACACGGGTTCTTCGTGTGCTGCTGACGCCGCCGCAGGAAACTGTGAAACAGACAACGTTAACATGGAGGCTACCTGTCCCCTGTCCTGTGGGCTATGTGGTACGTATAGAAACTGGTTAAAACATGGAGGCTAACTGTCCCCTGTCCTGTGGGCTGTGTGGTACGTAGAGATACTGGTTAAAAAAATATGAAGGCTAACTGTCCCCTGCCCTGTGGGCTGTGTGGTACGTATAGATACCGGTTAAAACATGGCGGCTAACTGTCCCCTGTCCTGTGGGCTATGTGGTACGTATAGATACTGGTTAAAAAAATATGGAGGCTAACTGTCCCCTGTCCTGTGGGCTATGTGGTACGTACATATACTAGTTAAAACATGGAGGCTTACTGTCCCCTGTCCTGTGGGCTATGTGCTATGTATAGATACTAGGGAAAACATGGAGGCTTACTGTCCCCTGTCCTGTGGGTTATGTGGTACGTATAGATACTAGTTAAATCATTGAGGCTAACTGTCCCCTGTCCTGTGGGCTATGTGGTACGTATAGATACTAGATAAAACATGGAGGCTTACTGTCCCCTGTCCTGTGGGTTATGTGGTACGTACAGATACTGGTTAAAAAATATGGAGGCTAACTGTCCCCTGTCCTGTGGGCTATGTGGTACGTATAGATACTAGTTAGAACATGGGGGCTTACTGTCCCCTGTCCTGTGTGCTATGTGGTACGTATATAAACTGGTTAAAAATCCTGGAGGCTTACTGTCCCCTGTCCTGTGGGCTATGTGGTACGTATATAAACTGGTTAAAAATCCTGGAGGCTTACTGTCCCCTGTCCTGTGGGCTATGTAGTACGTACATATACTAGTTAAAAACATGGAGGCTAACTGTCCCCTGTCCTGTGGGATATGTGGTACGTTAAGATGGACTAGTTAAATAATTGAGGCTAACTGTCCTGTGGGCGATGTGGTACGTATAGATACTGGTAAAAACATGGAGGCTAACTGTCCCCTGACCTGTGGGCTATGTGGCACGTACATATACAAGTTTAACACATGGAGGCTTACTGTCCCCTGACCTGTGGGCTATGTGGTACGTACAAATACTAGTTAAAACATGGAGGCTAACTGTCCCCTGACCTGTGGGCTATGTGGTACGTACATATACTAGTTAAATCATGGAGGCTAACTGTCCCCTGACATGTGGGCTATGTGGTACGTACATATACAAGTTTAACACATGGAGGCTAACTATCCCCTGTCCTGTGGGCTATGTGGTACGTATAGATACTGGTTAAAACATGAAGGCTAACTGTCCCCTGACCTGTGGGCTATGTGGTACGTATGTATACTGGTTAAAAACATGGAGGCTAACTGTCCCCTGTCAGTACGTAAAAACACAACTCGATGAATTTGATAATTCCGGTTTTGGAACAACTTCTGTTTGGGCTTATTTTGAACAGAACGATGACATAACTTGATGTAGTGTTTAGCTTCAAATGGCTTATTTGCGCATATATGCATGGCGCAAGAAAATATCTACATATTGAATACCGCTTTATTTGCCTTAACGCGAGATATTGGATTAATAACAGAGTTTCCACTGAAGTTCGCGACGTGAACAAATATATTTGGAAGTATAATTGCTTTTTAGCAAAATCTGTGTGACATTTATTCGATATACTATGGTTATATGGCAAACCTATCCACATTTTTACTATTTATTTATGTTTTATCTATCTCATAACGATAGTCAAAACGATATTTTGTGTCGAAAAAACCCCGTATAGTGTGCATGTGTAACCTTCGCAAATATAATTTAAATTTAATAATGTCACATATAGCAATCATATGACATCACGTATCAATATTTAGCCTTATGTTAAAACTTAGAAATAAAAGAAACACTGATCCATAGCTGTTAAACAAATAAAATCAATTAAGTTTCAAATTGTTTCCTTCGAATCCAATGACACATACTGCATGTATTTAGTATCGTGTACTTGTTATTCCAGTGGCAAAGTCTCCTCCTGATACCTGTTCCACTGCTGTAGTGTTCACGACAACAACGTCTAGCATCACGACAACCACACCCCAATCGTCTACGTCTTCGGCAAGTATTTTCTGCGCAATATCAAAGTAATAGAGGAAAGTGATTAATATAGCTTCATAAAAACAAACCTGTTGTATCACAAGTTCAACACTTAGATCAGATTTAAAAGCAAGTACAACTGAAAGGAGAATACACCTGTACTTTTTAGATTCGCGGAGGCATATCTGTGGTTTTAATCTTTAAATTTAATTTTACAGGCGACGCCAAATGAAAAATAACCGTCTACAAATCTAGAAATACAGGGGGTTATCAAAATGTTGGTCATGATTTTAAATAACATCTCAAATGTACACAAATTACTTGATGCCTGTTATATTGATGACTCGTCCGTTAAAAGACACCTAGCGTCCGGAGAACTCTGAACATAAAGTTTTTTATGGATTTATGTTCGAAATAAATTTGTTCTTCATATACTGGAAGATTTCCTATATTACGTTCTATAAATTACAATAAAAAGAGTGAGGCATGAGTTTGTGATAATTTATGTAGAGAAGGTAAAGGGTTTTCGTATTGTATCGTATGTCGGTAAGGATTTGTGTACAGAAGGTCAAATGTTACTTTATTGTAACTACATGTCTTAGTATTTGTGTACAGAAGGTCTAGGGTTACGTTATTGTATGTACATGTGTTAGTATTTGTGTACAGAAGGTCAAGGGTTACGTTATTATATGTAAATGTGTTAGTATTTGTGTACAGAAGGTCAAAGGTTACGTTATTGTATGTACATTTGTTAGTATTTGTGTACAGAAGGTCAATGGTTACGTTATTGTATGTACATGTGTTAGTATTTGTGTACAGAAGGTCAAATGTTACTTTATTGTATGTACATGTGTTAGTATTTGTGTACAGAAGGTCAAGGGTTACGTTATTGTATGTACATGTGTTAGTATTTGTGTACAGAAGATCAAAGGTTACTTTATTGTATGTACATGTGTTAGTATTTGTGTACAGAAGGTGAAGAGTTACAATGATACGTCGAATGTTTGCTGTTTTACTATAATTGACGTGTTTTCTAAATAATAGTTAAGATTTTAGAAAACTTCTCGAATCAATTAGATAATTTGAAAATCTAACATATAAGGCAGAGCAAGTATGCGCATTGGTAAACTCGTCACGACCAATCAAATACGTGTTACTATGCATTTCTGTAGTTAATTAACCATATATGTCCCTGTGTTGTAGTGCACTGCGGACGAGTTTAGTTGTGGAAACGGTAAATGTGTGTCCACCAATGTGACGTGTGACAATACGGACGACTGTGGGGATTACAGTGACGAGTTGAGCGACTGTATGTCTAGTAAGTAATAGATAATATTACATCCGTTGTGCAGGTTCTTTTAAAATCAACAATATTCTATAATTACATATCTGGCTAAGCGTTGAGACAGCAGTTGCAACTTAGTGTCTTACATTTAAGCGTTCGATAACTAGTATGAAACAGTATAATACTAAATGTAACATATCGTGGGGTTTTGTGAATATAAACAAATCCGATAACAAACAAAGAGCGGCGCTGTTTAGTAATGATGACTTAACTAGCTTAAAATATCCATTTAGTACTTTATGATTATCCAAATACGCGGTAATGGTTAAGGTGTTACTGGAATGTTTCTTATAAATGATCTCTCATTTTCGAAAAGAAAAAAAGGGGAAATATTGACTAAGTGATATCAAAAACCATTCACTACTACGCATTGGAGACAAAAATGAAGTGTTATCTGTGATAGGGTTTTGTCAGGATTAAATGAGAATATTTTGGAAATTCTTTATTTATATAAAAAAAAGAGTCTCAATTTGTTAAATTATAGTTTCAAATCAGTTTTACATTATTTATAAAATTGATTTTGATTGGTTCCAGGTACAGGTACGAAGTGTTGTCAGACGAGCGTGTATGTTGCTGTGGCGTACAACGTTTTCTTTATCATGGCAAATATCGCATGGCTTTAAAGGACACAGTAAACAGCTCGGGGCGCACGGTGGTGAAGGCTATATAGATTTGTATGTGCAGCTAAAGATGTGCTTAGAGTTGTCGTTCCTTTCACTAGAATGCTGTAAGGAACGACAACTCTGGGAAAAGATGTTGTGAAGCTGTAAAGTTTACAAATGGAACATTATTGAAGCAGATTTTTTTAAATTGAGATAATATCAACAAGCTTTAAAATTACCTTTTCATTAAATTTGCAACTATACTTTCGGAAATGAGCATATATTCAATATTAACTACATTTAAATAATAGCACATGTAGAATGTATTTACAACAAATGAACACGTGTCAAATATGTGCCTAAAACTGAAAGAGATCCGGCATAACATTCTGTTGAAATCAGACATCCCTTTTTATAAATCAATTGTATGAATTAAGTCAACATTCAACAAATGAGTGAACCTTTAACACATATTGTGTATAAATTTGAAAGCTGATCAACAATTAGACTTCTATATCATATTGAAAAGGAATTAAGGAGAAAATGAAATTATACTTTATGTGAACCCGACATCGGTTCAGACAGCACTTATATTTTATTAACACAGTGTCTGTTTTTTTGTTAAATTATTATTATCATAGCGCAAAACGAGTATCATCTACAAAGTAGGAGAACAATGAAATGGTAACAAAATATACGTATATTATTCCTGGTAATAATGAATATTTTATCAATTGCATGAACATGTATATGCTGCTTCAAGATCATTATAATGCTGACAGCTATATTATTTAATTATAATGCTTAATTATAGCAGTCAAATAATCCCATGCATTGTATTCACAGTACGTCAACAGTAAATATATTCAAGTTTGATCTAACCTTATTAAACATAATTCGCGTCTATACATACCCCACAAGTTAGTTTGATTATTTGTACCCTTTTATATTATATTGTTAGATTACGGCCTTTAGAATTGTTTAAAATATAGAGTCTTCTCATTATTCCCACTATTCATTACGTTTAAACTGTCTCCATGAACTCAGTGCAATTCTTATACGTAGGTTGTATATACAAGAATTAATTTTGAATAGTTTTGTTAGCGACGAAGTTCATTCTTTGAACGAAATTTGTTACACATCTACGGTAGAATTGCTTTATGATAGAAATCAAAGTAGAAAATTGAAATAAATTCACATACTGTGTGTTCTACAAAATTGATCTCATTTGACCAAATTGTTACGTTAACAAAATGTACCTAAACATGTTTTAAATAGTTTGTCACATGAGTTAATTAAGATAGTGTTTTATTTCCATTGTTCACTGTTAGTTGTAAAGTATTTTGACCTGCAAGGTAATTCAGATCATAATCATTTCAATGTTTTACCGCTTAAATATATGGTAACTAATTTCACTGGTAAATCATAAATTAAACTTTGCAGGACGTGAACCAGTCTAGAAGTCAAACTATATAACTATGTGTCTTTTACTTGATTAATGTTAATGTTATTGATATTGACAATGTATAACAATAGCTAAAATATATAGCAAGTGTTAAAATATATATTTGTTTTGTTGATAAAGTTGTTGTTCAAATACAAATTTGATAACATTGGTATTTTTGTCGACGATAATGAATGTATTACTATTTTATTTTATTAGTTATCTCAATACATTTGTTGAAAACAAAAACGCTGAACTTAGTTGTATTAACTTCATGAATCATAAGAATAAATAATTGATATTTTTTTATATATCAAAAGTGAAAATTAAACATATACAAGATGGGATGCAGAACTATCGCCATCGCGAAAAATAACTGACAAAAACATGATGATAGTTTTTATAGACGTTTGACTTTTAAATATTACATTAGAAAAGTTCACTTTACGAGCAGTTAATCCAGTGTCAAGTAAAGATGGTACAACATGTCCCTGGTGAACAAATAAATATACGAATGCAATAAAATTTATTTTTCATACTGTGCACGCTTGATTACGCTAACAAAATCAAAACCTTTTATTAACACTTATATAAATATACTCTGTATTTAGGTTAAAGGGCGATAAGTCTTAACTGCATGTGCTTTAAGGTGTCGTATGGCGAACTAATTTTGAAACATAACCTGTTTGTTAAATGATATTAATGTTCGCGTCTGTACTTTGATAACTTTGTCAAGATTTATATCAATTTCTTCCATTTTTTGTAATAATAAAAAAACTCTTTATTCATTTATTAAACATGTCTTTATGTCTAAATATTTCACATTATGAATGTCATCCCCATGTTTTTCCTCTTTAACGCTCGACAATATTCCATGATATTCTTTGTTGTTACAATCTGTTTCCTAGAACGGAATTACTCTTCATTTGCAATTTCTGATTCATATGTCTGAAAAATTGTCATTCCAGCCATTGTTTGAAAACTCAAGTATCCCTATTAAGTCGTTCATTCATTCCTTTTTCATCCTAATTACATAGTATTACCCAGTACCACTACCACAGCTATTTCTTCAACACCTACTGAAAGTTCTACTACTACCACAGCCCCATCCTCGATTGAAAGTTCCACCACTACCACAGTCCAATCCTCGACTGAAAGTTTCACCACTACCACAGTCCCATCCTCGACTGAAAGTTCCACCACTACCACAGCCCCATCCTCGACTGAAAGTTCCACTCCTACCACAGCCCCATCCTCGACTGAAAGTTCCACCACTACCACAGCCCCATCCTCGACTGAAAGTACAACCACGAGATCTACGACAACTACCATAGGATCCATGGTAACCACATCGCCTAGTACCACTGTCGTTATAGCAACCTCCATTGCTTACCCTAGTCAGAGTGTCAGTTCTACGTCAACTACTTCTTATACTATTACTACTACTCCTTCTTCTTCCACCGCCTTTCCTACTCCTACGTTGACCCAGTCAGTGTCTACGGCTGACCCTGACGGAGGTACACCACCACTTACAAGCAAAGAAGTTGCAATCATTAGTGGAGCTATCGCAGGGACTGTTATACTGATTCTAGCAGCCTCTGGGTATGCTGTGTACAAACGCAGGTCTAACAGGGCGGATAGTCGAGCGAAAAGGTTTTCTAACACATCATCACAACCGTCTACTATTCAGGGACATATCATGGATGATGGCTACTATGAGCTTATCACGCGCGAGAATAATACAGGTTCTGCCGGTAAAAATTACTATTACAATGGCCATCAGCTTAACCCAGGGTTACAGAACTATTCAGACAGGGATATATTAAAAAACTATAGCTACGTTTACAGGGGAAAGCGTTAATTGCAACCAATGACTAACTTTTTGTCATGCTGTTGAAATCCAAGCATCCGTATTATCCATCACTATCATCAACCATGAATCATCGCTGTTTCTTGATTTATTTTTAGCATTTTCACACACTTTGTCACTATATTTATTGCATTCTATACAATCCCATCCTAAAATCTTGGTATGACATTCTTTCTTTAGAATTTGTAGTGGTTAAATAATTAATTTGTAAATCCCTTCCAAAGATATAAGCATAAATTTCAGATTAAATGTATAGGGTATTAAACGTATTAATCAATGATCACTCACAATATAATTACGGCCTGAATAGCCTTCTTCAAGGGCGAAAGTCCATCTTGTTTTTTCTGGAGTAGAGAGTTGCTGTTGTGAGTTGTTTTAAAAAATACAATACATGTGATGATAATATACATTTTGTAAACATCTTGACTATTTCAAACTAAAACATCTGTTTAAGATATAGCTATCCGTCATTTTAAATAAATTAATTGTATAATTGACTCCATTTCATTTTTGAGCACTGCCTTGTTGACGGAAAAAACTATCTAATGACCAGTGTGTGTGTGGGAAGTATAACATTTAATATCACACTTGTTTCTCATATAAAAAATAAATGAAGAATTGATAAATATACCGTGGTGTGATATATTACTGCCCAGATATAAATTCAGTTCTTTCAGAACCAACATTACTTAAAATTCACACTGATGTGATTGTTTTGTAATGATAAAAATAGTAATTTTTTCTTCACTTGGAAATTATAGAAAACGTAAGTAACACGTTATCTTCATCAGTCATGTAAAGCAATATTGTTATTATTTTGATTTTTCTTTTGTATATATGTTTAAAACGGTTATGAAAGGATAATTTTCATAGTAGATCCTAATCAGAGAAATCAGTTTAGGAATGATAGAAGGTACAATATTATTAAAGGCATATGATAATATATTTTTATAAACCAATATATGTTTCGCTTTTACATACGGACACAATTAATTTGATATGTAAATATACATTTTTATGTCTTGCTGAATGCTTATACATTGAAAACAAAAGCAATGTTGTTTTACCATGCAAGATCCAGCACGTGGTCGTTCCATATACCTCTACCAATGCTAGTTCTGTATGCACACACCGAACTTACGTGGATGAACATACATCGGAAATGTGCACATCCTCTTAAAGAATTTATAATACAACCCACCGTCTTTGGTCTGATTGAGAAAACACCCAAAACAAAACAAAATGAAAACAACACTAAATTTGTGAAAAGAGTTTATGAATCACTATCTTGAATAATTGATGAAAATGCCCCTTTTTCGAAGATTTTTGTTCATTAAAGATGTGATGTAATCCATTTATTATAAGCTAAAGACAATTTTTTGTTGCCAATATATATATATATGAGTACACGGTGTATTTGAGCTCATTTGCTTTCTACGAAATCGACCAACGATGTCGTTCTTATAACAGCTTTATTTGAATATGCTATGTCTTCGATTCAATACAAAGATACATGTGTATAATCTTTTTAACGTGCATTTTATGTGTCAATACTAAACGGTAGGTGCATTATAATTAATATTAAGTAAAGTGTAAAATCTTATATAATCCGATTTTGTACATTATTGCATTCAGTGAAAATAAAAATCATCAATTACATTTTTCCCTGTTCGTATCCAAACTATTTAAGAAAGTGACAGTAAACATTTGTACTCTTTCATTGAAGGCTTGTTTATAAATTTGAAAGCAACACATTATCAAATTTCAGTAACCTTGTAACGCTTATTTTAAGCGTTTTCTATAATTAAAGAGCTCCGTCCCACTGCACTATGGATTATCGTATATATAGTAATCTTTCCTTAATTTCGTGATGGACATAACTGTAGCACAGGTGTGCCAGCTCACCCAGTCGATCAAACGTTTGTACAGCAATCGGAGGTCCAGTGTTCGAATCCTGAGTTTGTAGCTGTGGTACGGGAATCCTGGAACTAAAACTCCAGTTTGAGGAAATGTTATGCTCTTGGTAATGTTGATTGTTGATATTTCGAATGATAATTATTTTCGTATGAATTCGTAGTTATATTATGATGATGTACCTTCTCCGATTTTGTGTTACTGTTGCTTTGTTTTTTGTAAAACATGAAGAAATAGCTTTGTATACCGAAATCATTTTCACGCAATTAATTAACAAAATCTTATTTGGTCAAGGATTTTGAAAACAAAAAGAGAATAAAAGACAAATATTGTTGTCAGTGTTAACTCTTGACTGTTTGATTGTTGACATGCTTTAAGTGAGTTACAAAAATGCTGGTTTGAGCACAGAACCTATGCTTGAGCATGAGAATAATGTCATGAATACGGGCCTATTTTCCTTAAACAATTTCAAGTGTTTCTATATAAACATTTCCTCTGTTCATATTTGACCTTAATTTTAACGATTTTGAGTCAAATGCCAATGTCACTGAATATAACTTGGAAAGGGTTACCCACACCGTGTCTTCTTGTGCACTTTTCCGTAAGCAATATCTGTGATCTTTTTTATTGTATGCATTTTGTGCGTGTTGTATAGAGTAATAAAACTATTTTTCTTCTTCAAGACTTATTATTTTCATGTTGGTTAAAGAAAGTTGCATTTGTTTTGCTAATACAATCGTATTTAAACATAATACACCTAAGTTCGTCTTTAGATTATAAATATCAATCTCAAATTACCTTTAATAATATAAACCATACATCAATATATCATCTCATCAATTGAATTTACAATAAATCATTAACATTTATAATAACACGTCTGGATGTAACAACGTTTTTCATTGGCCAACAATCAACAGACCATAACGTTGTTACACCACCTTATTAGTGAACAGAAATGATTTTCATTACCTTTGAGATGATAATAGATATTATCATGATGTGTTTGTAAATATTAGCGGAATATGTACCATATTAGAAAATATCGACAAAAAAATGTTACAAGTGGGATAAACACTTTAACATTTTACTATGGGAATTAAAATGTTTTTTGCAACAACAATTTTTTTTTTAATAAAGACTGGTAGCTTCGTTATACATTATACGATGAAGACGCACATATGTTGAGTATTATTAATTAATATTGAATATTTAAAGATCACGGTACATTGAAACTTCGTTTGTCCGGACATTTACATAAATACATTCAGAAAAACAAAACCCCGGATACTTTTTGCCTGGTGTACGATTGCACATTATCAAAAATTTCTAAAAATGTATGTATCATGTAGGAGCTACATATTATCTAAAACATGTGATAGTCAAATTGGTCGAATACTGAGCACTTACAAAATACAAGATGTCTTGTCTGTGGAAAATGTAACCTACACAATTATTATTTGAGTGTAGGAGAAACAATGTGATCACTAACGACTCCAACAACCAATTTAGTTGTATTAAGTTTAAACTGTAGGTAGGCCGTTTATCAATTCATGATCATGTAATAAATACCCGTAATTTTACTAAATCAATTTAAATTAAAAGCTGTAAGTGGACTTGATTCGAAAAAGAATATAGGCAATGAATAATATATGAAATATATGTCACAGTGTCAAATCGCCAGGAAAAACAAAAGCCAGTGTTGATATGTAAAAAAAACAATCAAAGCAAAGATACATGGAGTCATCAGTCGCTCCGGAAAGGTAAGCTTTTCCCCCCACCCAATTGGCACCTGACGATGTCTATCTCTATTTAAATCCAGTTAAGTAAGTTGGTCACCAGTTATCTAGGAGATCTGTAAAAGGCAATCAGTCTGTGACGATACAGGAACGACAACTCCATAACGTTACTGAAATTACTTTTATATCTTAGTATCATTGATGTGTCAGATTGCTTGAGGATAAGCACGGTGTATGGCAGTAACTTGAAGCATGACTATACAGATACATTGTGCATACCTTAGGTATAATAAACAGATTGTTTCTAGATTTATTTAATTAACAAGCACTTTCTGCTACCACGTACATAAGAGGCTGCACATGTTTTAATGACTGAATCAATCATCTCCATGAACTTTACACAAGTTGTTCCCTGTTGAACGAAACAGCGTACAGTGTCTATTTGGAGTAAGAAGCGCATATGCACAAACAAAATACATTTTATTGCTAGACCCAGATGAAAACAGCATTTGAAGTGGTTTTTCACAAGTCTTTATCATGGAAGTAAACCGATGGCTACGATCTTCTGAAGCCAACTTTCCTTCTGGACACAGTCTATTACAAACTTTCCAACGTCCGCTCTTGGCATGGAAATGGACGCTCCTGTCACAAACTGGTTCTCCTCTGTCTTTATCTCCTTACCTGTAATGACGTCACGTATCAGAAATCTTAATTCATATTGTTACTGCACAAAAATATCGAACGTTCTTTCACTACTGTTTGTTTGGTTTCAATTTCAGATTCTTAATCCTCGCGACAGCTAAGGTCTTTTGACGACAGTTTACACATATGATTTGACCGACCATTCGATGGTCGCTTTATCCTGTAATGTTTCATAACTTTGTGAAGTTGATATGGTACCATGAGACCCGATCCGTTAACAGTATTGCGATAACGCTTCTTAGTGTGTATTTTTTTTTTATTAGAAATGAGTTGACAGCGTCATATTTGTTTAGACAAAATGGCAGAATACTTTGAGTTTTGGTCAGACAATGTTCACTGTTACAAAACATTATATCTTACTGATATCACATCTGGGCATGTTACTTCATATCATTGTCCATATTGACCACCACGCTATTTGTTTATCTACCACGGGACAAAGTTTGATAACAAGGTACAACAGGTGGGTGACTGTTTGGTCAATAAGGGCAGAAAGTAAGCTAACATTGCATTGCACATCATACTACAATTGCATTGCAGGGTAAATCTACCCCATGGGATCTTCACAAACACAGCCCAAGTAAAATATAACAATACACTATAGCATCAACAGACAAATGAAACAAACAATAGACCATAATATCAACATATAATTCGAATATAATAATACATCTAAGCAACAACACCAGTAAAATATAACAATACACCATAGCGTCAACGGACAAATAAAACAAACAAAATAACCCCCAAACAATACACCATGATATCAACACATAATTCGAATATAATAAAAAATATAAAAATAAACCTTAGCGTGAACACCCAAGTAAAATACAACAATACACCTTAGCGTGAAAACCCAAGTACAATACAACAATACACCTTAGCGTCAACACAAGTACAATACAACAATACACCTTAGCGTCAACACAAGTACAATACCACAATACACGTTAGCGTCAACACAAGTACAATACCACAATACACGTTAGCGTCAACACAAGTACAATACCACAATGCACCTAAGCGTGAAAACCCAAGTACAATACATCAATACACCTTAGCGTGAAAACCCAAGTACAATACAACAATACACCTTAGCGTCAACACAAGTAAAATACCACAATGCACCTTAGCGTGAAAACCCAAGTAAAATACAACAATACACCTTAGCGTGAAAACACAAGTACAATACAACAATACACCTTAGCGTGAAAACACAAGTACAATACAACAATACAACTTAGCGTCAACACAAGTACAATACCACAATGCACCTAAGCGTGAAATCCCAAGTACAATACATCAATACACCTTAGCGTGAAAACACAAGTACAATACAACAATACAACTTAGCGTCAACACAAGTACAATACCACAATACCCGTTAGCGTCAACACAAGTACAATACCACAATGCACCTTAGCGTGAAAACCCTAGTACAATACAATAATACACCTTAGCGTGAAAACCCAAGTACAATACAACAATACACCTTAGCGTCAACACAAGTACAATACAACAATACACCTTAGCGTCAACACAAGTACAATACAACAATACACCTTAGCGTCAACACACAAAACACATAAACTACGCCATAACAATAACAAACAACTAAAGTATATCAACACACCTAAGCCTCAACGCAGGCCAGATATAACAAAACACTATAGCGTTAACTCACAAGTGATTTATAGCAATACACTATAGCGTCAACACACATGTAAATTATAGCAATACACTATAGCCTCAACACACAAGTAAATTATAGCAATACACTATAGCCTCAACGCAGGCAAGATATAACAAAACACTATAGCGTTAACTCACAAGTGATTTATAGCAATACACTATAGCGTCAACACACATGTAAATTATAGCAATACACTATAGCCTCAACACACAAGTAAATTATAGCAATACACTATAGCCTCAACACAAGTAAGATATAACAAAACGCTATAGCGTTAACTCACAAGTAAAATATAACAATACACCTTAGCTTCAACGCACAAGTAAAATATAACAATTCACCCTAGTGTCAACTCACAAGTAAATTATAACAATACACCTTAGCTTCAACACCCAAGTGAAATATAATTCACCCTAGTGTCAACTCACAAGTAACAAATAACAATTCACACTAGTGTCAACACCCAAGTGAAATATAACAATTCACCCTAGTGTCAACACACAAGTAACAAATAACAATTCACCCTAGTGTCAACACACAAGTAAAATATAACAATTCACCCTAGTGTCAACACCCAAGTGAAATATAACAATTCACCCTAGTGTCAATACACAAGTCAAATATAACAATATGCTACAGCGTCAACATGTAACAACAAAAAGGAAGAATCAAATTAGAAACAAAACACCAAAAATGTCTCTAGTGACTGGAGGAAAAACAAACTCCTCCGAAAGAAGAAGTCTTTTCTACATACGAAACTTAACCAAAGAAAGTCCGAACCCAAACGATGTATCTTTTAAATTCTTACTTAAATCTGAAAATATCGAGAATATAAAATATTTCAATGAAAATCCGGGTCATTTTTGGAGAATTTTCGCAAAATTATATACAGCAGTGGAGACATCGTTTATAATTACCGTAGCGATGATTTCTCATACTTCACTGACAAATCTATTTTTTCTGAGGAGACATTCTGTCTTCTACACCTATGAACATAGCCTACGGTAATGCGGTTCAAATATGATAGGTATGCTGATAAATTAACAACGAAATATCAATAATCTAATAAGTTAAAGATTACCACTACTTGGCCCATCGGCCAGCCCGGATGGCCTAACGACAGTGTAGCTGAGGTCTGAACAGTGATCCACAAGATAGTGTTCCATCTCCGCCATATTGGATAAAATGTTCCCTATCAACAGGGGCCTAAATATCCACTCCACCACCCAAGGACTTCCAGCGGCTTCTGAAATGAGTAACGTAACTGTCAATTAAAATACGATATGATATTACCGCGTCTAAACGAGGAGTATGATGATGGACATATAATGCCGTAACGTAGAAATCCAATGTAAAGCATATGTTAAACATAAGTGCAAATTAAAGAGATTATACCATTTGGAATAATGGTTTCAATAACTTTTTTTATGAATATTTGCTAACATTTTGATAAAACGGCATTTTGGTAGTTGTTTAGCTTCATACTATTTTTGTTGTTGTTGTTGCGTTGAACATTGTACTTTGACCTACTTTCGGTTCCCGTGGAGGTAAGACAGACCAGGCGTGGGGCTTTATGGTAGAATATTGTATTGTGTTGCTTTGAATATTGTACTTTGAACTACTTTCTGTTCCCATGGAGTTTGGACAGACCAGGCGTGTGGCTTCATATTAGAATATTGTATTAAGTTGCTTTGAACATTGTACTTTAACCTACTTTCTGTTCCCATGGAGGTTGGACAGACCAGGCGTGTGGCTTCATATTAGGATATTGTATTAAGTTGCTTTGAACATTGTACTTTGACCTACTTTCTGTTCCCATGGAGGTTGGACAGACCAGGCGTGTGGCTTCATATTAGGATATTGTATTAAGTTGCTTTGAACATTGTACTTTAACCTACTTTCTGTTCCCATGGAGGTTGGACAGACCAGGCGTGTGGCTTCATATTAGAATATTGTATTAAGTTGCTTTGAACATTGTACTTTAACCTACTTTCTGTTCCCATGGAGGTTGGACAGACCAGGCGTGTGGCTTTATGTTAGAATAATGTATTGTGTTGCTTTGAATATTGTACTTTGACCTACTTTCTGTTCCCATGGAGGTTGGACAGACCAGGCGTGTGGGTTTATGTTAGAATATTGTATTGTGTTGCTTTGAATATTGTCCTTTGACCTACTTTCTGTTCCCATGGAGTTTGGACAGACCAGGCGTGTGGCTTCATATTAGGATATTGTATTAAGTTGCTTTGAACATTGTACTTTGACCTACTTTCTGTTCCCATGGAGGTTGGACAGACCAGGCGTGTGGCTTCATATTAGGATATTGTATTAAGTTGCTTTGAACATTGTACTTTGACCTACTTTCGGTTCCCGTGGAGGTAAGACAGACCAGGCGTGTGGCTTTATGTTAGAATAATGTATTGTGTTGCTTTGAATATTGTACTTTGACCTACTTTCTGTTCCCATGGAGGTTGGACAGACCAGGCGTGTGGCTTCATATTAGGATATTGTATTAAGTTGCTTTGAACATTGTACTTTAACCTACTTTCTGTTCCCATGGAGGTAAGACAGACCAGGTGTTTGGCTTCATATTAGAATATTGTATTGTGTTACGTGCACATTGTACTCTGACCTACTTTCTGTTCCGATGGAGGTAAGACAGACCAGGCGTTTCGTACTTGAAGTGCGCATGGCGGTTACGATACTCTTCATTGAATCTGTGTAAAATGTCACTCTTGACCTTCCAAGAAACCCCTGTGTATTTGTTCCGAGGCAAGACACCACAGCGTCACAGTCTTTGAGGTGAGGTTCCAGTTCCTCAGGTTTAAATATATCAACTTTCTCTACCTATGTAGAAAAAAATATTACTTCATAGCAATGTATATATCTTCTTTCCAGGACTTATACGTCATGCATATTAAAATAGGATTTTTATAGAAAAATATAATCAGTCTTGTAACTATGAATAGATTGGTTCCTCATCTGTGTCTTATTCTATTTATCATTTGAATCAGATGTGACACATGACAATTTAATCGCTACCAAGATATTTTGGAAATCAAGTCGAGATCTGTCCAGTAGATTTGTAGGAAAGCCGCAAAAATTATAGCCACTTTATTTGTATCGCTTTTGATCCCCATGTACTTAAGCTGTTATAATAACAACTTGGTTAAAAACTTTCCACTTTTTCGGGAAAAGGTGTAGTTTAAAGCAAATACTCAATTCAGACACCTTTTACCTAGTCCCTCACGTCTCCATGAGGAACAGTGACTTTACTTGTAAATTTTATATATATACAAATTGGGATATGATTTCATCTAAATACGAAACAGCTATCCTGACACTTCTGACTCAGTCTCTTACCGCCCTGGAGAGTCAGTCCCTGAATTGATACAACTTTTGATCCCTATTGCATAAGGATAATAGCAACAAAATTGGTTGGATTTTGCTCAGGTATATCGGAAAAGATATCATTTCATGCAATAGTAGACGGACGATGAACGATTAAGCATCATTATATAAGCTCACCCGTAACAGATGAGTCTAAAATAATTTTGTCAGAGATCAGTACTGACGGTTTATGGAAAATAACATGTGAGATATTCGTTACCAAACCAAAACATATTCTAGTTAAAGAAGAAACAAAGCATTGCAACATTATATTTAGTTTTCTCTGTTGTCAGTGTATGTGAATGTGTGGGTATTGAGTGCATTGGGATTGAATGGCTTAGTACGAGGGTAATTGTATATAAATGGTTCATGGCTTGAAGAGATGGAAGTTAGAAAGAATAACCTTCAGTTTGTCATCTTTCGTTGTTAACTTCCCAGGATTCCGTACAAGAGCGGTGACGTAATATCCTTTATCAAGTGCTTCTTTTACAGCGAATTGTCCGCTTGGACCTGTCGCCCCGAATATAGCAACCCTCATGTTTGAAAAAGTCTTGTTGAGTTTCAGGCTACCTGGTAAAATAAAATTAAAACAGAAGAATGCTAAGTGAAAATACTTGAATTATATAACTCTGAGGTCAATCTTAGAAAGTCAAGAACAAAACTGACTCGGTTCGTTAGATAAAAAACTTTTACGGAGTGGCTATTGACACTCGGGCTAGATAACGAAAAAACG